AAACCTGGTAAGTTTTGGGTTTATTTATAACACTTTCAGCAATGAAAATCTTACAATTCTATTCCTGTTCTAAAAGTTTTAAAAAATAATGTCTTTTAAGGTTATGTCAAAAATAAATGCTTTAATTTTTTTTCTACTTGTGAATATTAGGATCTTATTGAAAAAGTTCAAGCTTCCAAGGAATCATGAATGTAAGTTTTAGGATTTTTTTAAAACTAATTTAAGGTTAACAAATATAAAAATGTTTTATTTAAACATATTCTAGAATTAGATGGTTTCCTAAAGATCTAGTAACTATCCATAGCCTAGCCTGTTACACTTAAGACATTTGGAACATTCTTCTTCTTTAATAAAAAATGGAACTTTATATGTCATTTTCAAACTCAAAGGCACTTAAAATCAGGAATGAAACAATGGCCAGCTATTAAGTAGAAAAAATTTCCCTTGTGTATTCTAAGAAAAGGTTACAGTGGTTTCTGTATCTAAATTATGTTAATTGTGAGAAAAATAGCAAATGTCATTTTTTAGATCCCAGAGACAGTGGGCATAGCACATAATTTCATTCAAAAGTGTTTACTGACAAATTATTTGCAAAAAAATATATTTTTAGAGTAAAAAATAGTTTTTAATTAAGTACTTGAGTTTAGAGTCCAGCACGTAGTTGTATAAGTTAACAATTTGAGAGTCCTCAAAAATAGAAGTGAAAGAAAAATAATTTTATTACGGGTCATTTAAATTTGTACATTTTATAATAAAGATACTGTCGTTATGAAAGTGTTATTGTACTTGCAGTTGAGAAGTTGTTTGACCTATACTAGACCTAAGAACTGCATTTTTAAATATATGAATAAATGTTTGTAATATTCATAAAGAATTAAAGTGATAATCAGTTTTCAACTTTTTCATTTCAAAGAGTATTGGTTTTGTTTAGGCAAGTTCATTTCCCCCCAAAGATTATATAGTTACAATCACATTAGACACATTTAAAAGTTATACCAGGTAACAAATTTATATTAGTGTTTCACAGGGATTTTTCTTTTGTTCTCTTCTTTCACTCTACATATGCTTTGGAAATGTCTCTCATTTTCAATGTCTCTGTTAACTCTTTATCAGTGATTCCCACATCTTATCAATAGACCAGTATTTCCCATTGCCTTCTGGGCAGCTCAATTTGGAGGTCCCACAGGCATTTTAAATAATAAATTTCCCCCATCTGTGCTCCCTTTTTGTATTACCTCCCTCACATATTGGCTTTCCTTTTTATTTCCTCTCCAAAACTAAAAACCTTGGGATTCTCTTGGATTTTTTTCTCTTTCATCCTCTTCTCCCATACATCTACTCATCCTATAAATCCTGTGTATTTTACATTCTGTCTATCTCTCAAGTGTTTCCATTTCAACATCCTTGTTCTCACCTTTCTTCAACCTTTCTCAGCCCTTAGTACCATTTTGTGTAGCATCCTTGTCTCCAGTGCCTGCACTTTGTACTTCCTCATTCACACTCTAGACAAAACAAAAGGTTCTTTCTAAAATTTCATCCTCTCCTTAATCCTTTCTCCCAATCCCTTCATGCGTGATGACTAGGTTATATGATTTCATACATATTGTTTTCTTTTCTGCTTCTCCATTTTATCCACCTGAAATTAAATGTTGACCTCCTCTCAAGTCTGTTATTCTCTACACTGTTTTTCAATATCATTTTCACGAACTTCTATACTAAGGCTGCCCAACAGAAATATTGAGCTACAAAAGTACTTTTCTAGTAACCATATTGTAAGAAGTAAAAATAAACAGGGGGAAATAATTTTAATAATATATTTTAACTTAACCCAATACATCAAAATATCCTGTCAACATGTAGCCAATATAAGAGTTATGAGCTATTTACTTTTGTTCATAGTAAGTCTTCAAAATCTAGTGTGTATGTTATACTTACAGTGCCTCTTAACTCCAGCACTGTATTGGAAATACTTTATCTGAATGCAGCCTTCAGAAAATTTTTCAGTTGAAAAATAGATTCATATAATACCCAAATCGTTACAAAGATAATTATAACTTTTTCAGTAACTTTAGATTATTAGGTTTAAATTTAAGTTAAAAACAAAATTTTTAATTTAACAAAATTAAGAATTCAGTTTTTCAGTCATCCTAGCCAAATTCCAAGTGCTTAACAGCTATATGTGAGTAATGGCTACCATGTTAGAAAGTGCAGCTCTACCCTATTAAATTCAGGAAATATTTATTGTACTGCATGTTAGCTAGGAACTCTGCTAGGTGCTTTTTATAAATGGAATCATAAAAGTTGCTAATTATTTGGATTTTTTATTTACAAAAACAGCAATTTCATATGTATCAATCTAATATTTTATGTTGTATTATTCTTTACACTTCTTAGAGAAACCATTCATTTAATCTACAGTATGGAATTTTTTAAGGTTTAATATTAACCCAATATATTTTGAAAATTTATACTTACTACTGAAACAAAGATTTCTCATATCTTTTGTATTTAAAAGAAGTTTTAGTTAGTTCACATTGAGAAAATCTTGTGTGCACAATATAATACTAGACAGTGTAGAAATATTCAAAGAAAGTAGAAGTCTTAATGACTTTGAAATTTATTTATAGGAAAGCTAGAATAAGCATACATGAAAATTAAAGTAATTTAAAGAAAGCTATAAACAATTATTCATTAGGATTATGTAAAGTATGTAAATAACTGTGGAGGGAATGGTTACTTGTAATGGAGGAGGAGTGTTTTGAACATCATTCGTAGATTCTCTTCTAAAAGAAATCAAAAGATAATTACCTACATTCTAGTGTTGCATATAAGAAACCTGAGACTCTCTTTTCTTTTTGAAGACCTAAAAAGATGATTTTATGAGAATTTTATTATAAGAAATATAAATAGTTTTTGAACACTGAAACATTCTTTTTCCCACAAATATTTTCCCAACAAAACCTAGATTTACCACCTAATCGTTTCTTCTAAATACAGTGACTAGTAAATGCCATCTGTTCCTTTTGTCAATTAAATATTTATGAATAAAATAAAAAATATATTAAAGAAAGTTTTTCTAAATTCCCACCACAAAGATATAATAAACTTTCTATCTTCTGCCTACCTTTTATGATTTTATGTTTATGTATGCCTAATAGTCTATTAGAATTCTGTGTTCTGCTTTTTTCACACACTGTTACTTTTATATTTTCAATGCTATGTAATCTGTGTAATTAAAGTCATCAAAAGCTAATATTCTACTGAATATGGTATATCATAAGTAATTTAACATTCTGACATTATTAGGCATTCCATTATTAGTTTATTTCTAACTACTTGTTATATTCTTTATATGAAGCTTTTTCTTCTTTTCAATTATTTCCTTAGCCTAAAGTCTCCTTAATTGGATTTTGGAGTAGAAGTGTTAATATTTTAATGTCTGCCTCCCATATGTATTGCCAAATTAAATTTCAAAATACTTTTGCTGATTTACAATGATTTCAGCAATATATCAATTTCTTCAAGTTTTGGTTTTTGGATTCATGTTTTAGGCACATTTTAACCGTAGTATTAATACTTAAGCCTACAAAGAAAGACCTTAATAGCATATTTAAGACCCCAACAAAAATAAAGACATATAGAGATATTCTGCCATGTTAGTAATATTCCTATAATTTTAGAAAAAAAGACAGTCACACAAAGCAAGAAAAATGTCAAATGCAAGGATCATAGTAATCTATTCATTCCTAGTCAATTAAATAAGAAAATAGTTTCCAAATTCTCTCACACATCTAATATTCCTTTATAGAAGATCTAAAATGCCTTCAAATAACATTTTTAAATACAAAGGAAATAACACAAGATAAACAAAGCATAAAATTTTATTTATTGTTGTTTATTCAGTAAATTTTATTCATTGTTTGTGTTTCATTCTTATTTTTAACTCACTTTTCTTTGATGCCAGTGAAATTGAATATCTTCCATTGCCTTGTATACTGTTTGTACTTCTTCATGTGGATTGTACTTTGGCTATTTATTGGGATAAAACTGCAAACTCTTCTTAAATATTATAGGGATTACTCCTTTTTGCAAATGTTTTTCTAATCTGTTATAAATCTTTACTCTCTATAGCTTTATTAAATTTTGCTATACATATATAATTTTTTGTGTTGTTAAATCTGAGCATTTTATATTATTTCAGTCCTTTAAGATTGTCTTTCTTCCATAGTATTGATAGTCTGGGGTGTTTTGGGTTTTTGTTTTCTACTTTTTTATTCTTATTTTTGTTCTTCATTATAGCATCCATGTATAGTTGTGTTGGTATAAGCTGGAGGTTGGCATTTGCTTTGAATTAGTTTTCTCCATATTGCTACCCTGTTATCTTAGTAATGGTATTGAATAGTCCTTCTTTTTCTCCTTGTTTCATAATGTTTGTTATATAAGAGCGTTCTTTATTGTTTGTATGACACATTGTAATGTCAGATAAGGTTAGCTGCCTTGCTTTTTCTTTCAGAATATTCTTGTACAATCTCATACATTGATTCTTCCAAACTGATTTCAAAAGAGTTTGTTTTGCCCTTTTATTTTCAAATTCATGTTATACCACACAGAATAGTTTATGGCAGCTCCTTTTATGAAATTTTATTCTTCTGTATTTCTGCTGCCCCAGAGAAACTTCTTTCCCAAATGCACCATCTTTTTTTCTTTATTTTCCTCTCCTTTTTTTTAGAGAGCAGATGTTGCTATGTCTCTGTGACAAATAGCCCTTTTCCTCCAAAGTAATGGTTAATTAAAGTGTGATACCCTCCCACAGTCCCCCTGCCACACCACCTCAGACAAGGAACAGAGGTTTCTGTATTTAAGTATAACTATGGTGTTTTCAGGATTTTTAGTGTTTAAGTGGGGGGTCTTTCCAGGAAAATGGAGATTTTCATTATCTTGCTAGTAATTTTTAATCTATATGTATTAAAGAATGCATAAAACGAATAGAACTCGGGGGACAAATAACAGCCAGCATTTAAATTATGGCATGTTAAGGAGAGGGAGAGGGAAAGTGAAGGAGCATTGGGATGGGCCAGAGAATAAAGAATCTAGGATGCCTTGGTCAAAACTATAGGCACTTAGAACACAATTTCTTATAAGGACAGCAGAATGAAGAAAATTTAGAATTCGAGGAATGCATATCCCAATGGTACAGGCAATATAGTTACTAATAGATTGTCCTGAGGAACACTGACCAAATCTGTGACAGACATGGCTACTGAGACACTCCTTTGGAAGGACACAAAACTGAAACAGGAAAATAGGCACAATTAATTAAGTCTTGCTCTTCCATTACACATTCACTCATTTGCTCATCTAACAAATACTAATGACCCCTGTTTCCTCTTTATGCATTTGTGCCCTATTTCTATTAATACTCTTGTATTGTATGTTGATAAAACATTTGTTTATGGACAAATGAACAAATGAACAAAATGTAAGACATGATTGTAACCCCAATCTAAGGATGAACACTATCATATCCAAAACCCTTACAATGCATTGTTTGCACTGACTCTTTTCAGTAACAAGAAAAAAAAAAGATAATTTTTATTCTTTTTAAAAATGACTCTTTTCTGACTTTTTGTCCCTAAAAGGAATACGAAGAAGTGGTCGGTGTCAGTGTAATAATGCAACCAAAACTGTCTCTCTGATTTTTGAAAGAAAATTCTAACTTTCAGCATAAGTTATTACATCTCTGTATCTCTGATTTTGCCACCAAATTTTAATAATTTGGGATTTTTCACTAGTTGCTTTCCAGTTGGGTCTCGTAGAAGGAGAAATAAATGACTTGCTACGGGGGATACATCGAGTTCAAAGTCCCCAACCAGGAACAAATGACGAAAATGCACATATTGAAGAAGACGGGTACATTAAACAGAAGGAAATTGGTTCAGAGGATATCTGCTCTATTTGTCAAGAGGTGCTTTTAAAGAACAAGCTTCCTGTTACCTTTTGCAGGTGATGTATTTTTCCTTTGAATTCTAAAAACTTATGAAAAATTCTAATTTAACATGCTTGTGATTGATTACATTATGAGACATGTTGATAGAAAAAAAAGAAAGCTTTACCTACAGCCAATTTATATTTAATTAACATTCTTTTGTTTCCTGACATATATGTTGTGAGAGGTCCTGTTCTTACTGTAAACATTTCTGAGCTACATTTTAACAGTGAAGATTAGAACAGAACTCCAACGGGTATGGTAGCTCATGCCTGTAATCCCAGCACTCTGGGAGGCTGAGGGGGGAGGGTTGCTTGAGGTCAGGAATTGGGGACCAGCCTGAGCAAGAGCAAGACCCTGTCTCTACTAAAAATAGAAAAATTAGCTGGCCATGGTGGTGCACACCTGTAGTCCCAGCTACTCAGGAGGCTAAGGCAGGAGTATCACTTGAGCCCAGAAGTTTGAGGTTGCTGTGAGCTACGATCATTCCACTGCACTCTAGCCAGAGCAACAGAGCAAGATCCTGTCTCAAAAAAATAAAAAAAAAAACAGAACTCCACAATTATTCCTTCCCACACTCTAAGTAATGAATGTAGGATAATTTTCACGTTTTTATTTTATACAAATGCATAAATGCCATGGCTTTTTGTATTATAGGTACAAAGAGTTTCCTGAAAGTAAAGATTATTTTACTTTGAAATTATAAAAATTATTTTTGGTTTTTCAAAATTCTATTTTTAAACCTAAATAATTCAAAATTTCACTTATGTACAATGTTTATTGACATTCTCATATTCATATTATTCTTCACAGCACCATAAAATTGAACTTAGAAAATTTAGGCAACCATTTGCTATCAAAATTTTTTATTCTTTTTTTCTCCTGATTATTTGACAAAATTTTTGCCTACACTGTAGTTTTTCTTGTGTCTGTTTACATTGCATATTGTAAAATTAACTTACCAAAATATTATTCGTCTTAGCAGGTATTTCTTAAGTATTGCTATGTATTATGTGATATCTAGAAAAATAAGGTGGAGCCCTACTCTCAGTGAAGCATTTTATTTAAAGAACAATGAATAATTATCATTTTGATTTTATTTTGTGTTAAGATTATATTTATTCTCTTTACAAATGAAAACTATTCTAATGATGCAAAATCTTCACCATTTCATTGGAATTGGGGAAAATTAATGTTTGGAATTCTGATGTGTTAAATTAAAGATGATAGATTGGATAGATTGTGTGTGTGTATGTGTAACTAAGCTGTATCTGCAAAATCAATTCAGGGTCTATTTTGGGGGGAATAAAGCTGGAAGCACAGAAAATTTTATTTATATAAATATATATAATATATACAGTGTATGTCTATAAAACTTTGCTGTATACAAATGGTAAACTCGAATTTTATTTCTGATAGGTTTGGCTGTGGCAATAGTATCCATATAAAATGCATGAAGATCTTAGCTAATTATCAGAATATGACATCAAACACTTCCATGTTGAAGTGTCCTCTGTGCAGGAAAGAGTTTGCACCATTAAAACTTATTTTGGAAGAATTCAAAAACTCAAGCAAACTTGTGACTGCAGCTGAGAAAGAACGACTGGACAAACACCTTGGAATTCCCTGTAATAACTGTAAACAATTTCCAGTTGAGGGGAAATGTTATAAGTAAGTGTCATCAGTAAAATTAAAAGCATTTTTTTTACATTAGGAAACTTCTAGCATTAGAATACCTGTCCTTTAGCCTGCCTTTTCCTACATATACTGTATTCAACTTATGTGATGGTTGCTGTAATAGGACTTCCAGACTGGTGATCTATAGCAGTCCAGTATCTAAGAACTGCCATCATTGTATTTTCTTCACTTGTGCCAGGGGATTGGCTTTGAACTTGGTCTAGGTTGAGTCTGAAGTAGCACCCATCCTAGAACCTTTGGACACAGGCTTTGTGCTTTGGCCTAGATGAATTTCCAAGCTTAGAGCCCTGGTTGATCTCTCACCCTCTGTAACTTTCTTTGAACCACCAATGAGGTCATTGCCAAAAGCTCCTAAGATTGAGCCAGAGTAATATTGACTAGATTAAATGAATATTTAATCAAGGTCCCCCTACTCCAAATTGCAACGGATGTGGGTTTTGTTTTCTTTCATATCTAATACCTCAACAATACCAGCAGAAACAAGGTAATTATTAGAGCAAATGATTTTCCCTACTTTTGTGAGTAACCTCCAAACTTTACCACAATTTCTACACTAAAACGTTAATTAATTCCTATACTTGGGAAATTGTATTTTCTTAGTTAAAAGTTTAAGTTAATGATATATTAAAAAGAAAATATCTTGCTACAATCTTTGTTAAAAATTTCTCTGGCATTCATCAGTTTACTTTTCAATCTTCCTGGAATTACATTATGATGAGCCCAACTTATATGTATATATATTTTTAAAACTCTCTTAAAATCATAAAACTTTTTTATGACCCCCAACAGCAAATTATACCTTTCTCCTTTTAATTTAGTCCTGTTTTCTGTATGTGTTACACAGAAGAAAATTAATTGTTAGGAAAAGTCTTTATTTAAAAATGGCTGGCCTGAGAAGGATCCAAAGGAGCATTCTAACTTGAGGAAGACGGGTAGGAATTTTATAAACATTTAGCAGGAGGGGTTCAGCTAGTTTCAGGAATGTTGGTTAAAAAAAGTCCTAGGAAAAGGAAGGACTTGATCTTTGGTATTAGCAGCCATCATTTGGGCAATTTAAACTTTCTCAAGAGGGATGGATAGGAACAGTAAGGGGCCAAGGTCTCATGTTAAAGGTGGAACTAGAAGGAACAGTTGTGAGGGACAAGGACATACAAGGGCCACAGTGTAAAATTCTCAGTCCTTACAGTCATGTGTTCCTCAAATGTTTAATGTACAGCTTTAGTAGATTATCTTAAAGATGGTCAAATCTAGCTTTTGAGTATTTTGTTGATGACAGCACACTTATCTGTCACTCTGAGTTTTCTGACTGCTCTTTCTGTCTTGGTGGATTATTCTTCCAACTACCCCTAAATAAATGCATTCTCCACTGTTCTGCTCCTTGCCCACTGGTCTACATTCTCCTTTGAGAATATCATCTCTTCTCATAACTTCTCCTCTGTGGATTTGGCTAACAAATTATTCATCTTTATCTCCATCCTTTTTTACAAAATAAAGAATGCATTTTCAACATTTGTGACTCCATTTTCCTTCTGTTCCTTCAAGTACTGACATTGTAGTCATCAGCCTGAAAAACCATTTCCAATAATAGTTTTAGGAATAGATTGAGTAGAAGACAAGATAAAGAAGGAAGCTTCTTAGTTCTTTTTTTTTTTTCAGAGACAGGCTCTTGCTCTATACCCAGGATGGAGTGCAGTGGTGCAATCACAGCTCACTGCAGCCTCGAACTACTGAGTTCAAGGGATCCTCCTGCCTCAGCCTTCTGAGTCATTGGGATTACAGGCATGAGCCACCATGTTCAGCTTCCGTTCCTTTTCATTAGAGTTTCATATATTAGCTACTTCATCTTTGAAGAGGTTAATTCCAAAAATATTAGATAGATGTTAAAATATTGAGATGCTTAACTTTTTCTAGCCCACCATACTTTGATGTATTGAATAAATTACACCATTTTTCTGACCCATTGATGTTAATTATTAAAAATCTTCTTTGTATCTATAAAGAGTAATAATGAATAAATTAGCAATTGCTTCTTCTAAGATGTCTGAAGGACATATTTTCTAAAATTTCTCATAGAAATAATCTTCTAAATCTTTGATAATTTGAATAGGAAAACAAGTTTATTTGACTACAGCTAAGAATATTGTTTAATAAATTATGCTTCTTCTAAGATGTCTGAAGGACATATTTTCTAAAATTTCTCATAGAAATAATCTTCTAAATCTTTGATAACTTGAATAGGAAAACAAGTTTATTTGACTACAGCTAAGAATATTGTTTAATAAATTATGCTGCAAATAAATTAAAATTCTCTGCTTATGGCAAGATTTTTATAGAAGATATAAGCTTCATATTGTGCTTGTGTGGAAAGTGTTTTTTTTAAATTTATCAGTAGTTTTTATTGAGACCCTTATGTATTTACCTTTTTCTATTCTGTGGGGAAAGAGAGAGAATATAATTTCCGTTTTCAAGAAGTATGCCACTGGCCGGGCGCAGTGGCTCACGCCTGTAATCCTAGCACTCTGGGAGGCCAAGGCGGGCGGATTGTTTGAGCTCAGGAGTTCGAAACCAGCCTGAGCAAGAGTGAGACCCCGTCTCTACTAAAAATAGAAAGAAATTAATCGGACAACTAAAAATATATGGAAAAAATTAACCGGGCATGGTGGCGCATGCCTGTAGTCCCAGCTACTCGGGAGGCTGAGGCAGAAAGATTGCTTGAACCCAGGAGTTTGAGGTTGCTGTGAACTAGGATGACACCACGGCACTCTAGCCCGGACAACACAGTGAGACTCTGTCTCAAAAAAAAAAAAAAGAAGTATGCCACTAAGTGTAACTCTAGCACTCATGAAACAATTGGAAAGCAACACTGAATAACCAAATGACAGAATATCTAATAGGCTGTAGATCCTATAGGAACTTAGAGAAAGAGATAAATACAAGCTAAGAAGGCATTATGGAAGGGGCATGTGGTGGGCAAAATAATGGCCTGCCAAATATGTCCACATTCTTAGGTCCAGAACCTGTGTGTAGGGTTGCATGTCATAAGGGAATTAAGGTTGTAGATGACATTAAGGTTTCTAATCACCTGACCTCGAAATATGGAAGTTATCCTGGATTGCGTGGATAAGCCCAATGTAATCACAGGGGTTCTTAAAAGTGGAAGAGGGGAACAAGAGAGTCAGAGGGAAATGTGGCTGTGTGGCTGTAGAAGAAAGGCAGAGGAGATGCTACATTCCTTGCTTTAAAGATGGAGGAAAGGGTCACAAGTTAAGAAATGCTGCTAGCCTCTAGTTGGAAAGGGGAAGGAAATAGATTCTCCCCTGGAGCCTCCAAAAAGTAACACAGTCCTGCCAATCCCTTGGTTTTAGCCCATTGAGACCCATGCCAAACTTCTAGCCTACAGAACTGTAAGATAATAAGTTTTTGTTGTTTATTGTTTAGTGTAGTAATTTTTACAGCAGCGATAGGAAACTAATACACAGTGTGACTTGAAATGAGGCTTGTCGTGTTTGGATAGTTCCCAGGTAATTTTGGTTAGAATTTATCACCCAAAACCATTACAATAATTGGATTTTTCTTTTGTATGTTTTGGTGTTTTGCATTTTAGGTGTACTGAATGTGTAGAATATCACTTATGCCAGCAATGTTTTGATAGCGGCTGCCATCTTTCTCATATATTTACATTTCGTGAGGTACAGTATCCATCTCGAATCTAATATGGTGTTTGTATTTGTCCTGTTGTAAAGCTAAGTAAGAATAAGAATAGATAACACTCTGTAATAGAACTGATTAGTTATTAATAAAAACCTAAAACCATATTTTAAGAGAACTCTTTATCATAGGGATGTACAAAACAACCAGTTCTTATATGGATAATTTATAAAATCCAACACAATAACAAACATCTGATGACATTACAGATAAATCTTAAGAACAGGAATTGTAGCCATTAAACTTGAAAATCAGTTTTTAAAAAGCTTTCAACATTACAAATCAGCTTATTGTAACATAGTGTAACATATCAAAACATTTATGGTTTCCTCTTAAAATCAGCAATAATGAAACATGGAATTTCATTGAGATCATTTGAAGTGTACACTTAAAAAGTATCTCCTGATGCTGAATAATAATGCTACCTTCTTCTTACTATACAAGATAAAATAAAAAATCCATAGTTATCATTCACATTTTTACCTTAAAAAGTAATGCCATTATAGTAAGTATGCAGCAGTATGTGAGACTGATAATTTGTAAATACTTAAATGTAGTAAAAAATAATACATATGTTTAAAATGATAAGTGTTATTCATATTATGTTTTGTTATGCAGCTTACTAATTTTAATCCATAAAATAAAAATGTCCATGATTTTCATGGAAGTTTTAATACATCTACTTTTAAGTTATTAATACATCTACTTTTTACATATTACAGAAGAGAAACCAAAGATGGAGATTACTAGAAAAAGGATCAGATGAAGTTGTAAAATATATAGATATTACAAATGAGATAGAAAAAAAGATGCCACATTTTCAAGAAAAGCAAGGGTGAGATTCTCAGTAGAATTAATATTTCTTGTATGACTTGGGATCCTCGAGTAATTTTTCAGTTTGAGTAAGCTTTATTCATCCCTTTATTTAGTAAATGTTTATTGAGCACGTCCTATATACTAGGTGACATGATAGCATGCAAATGAAGAGCAAGGCTCTAGGGTTTGACTGTCTGAATCCAATCCTAGTTCAACCACATGTTGTCTGTGTGACTTTTGAGCTAGTTATTTCATTTCTCTCTGCCACATCTGCCACTTTTTCTCCATCTTTAAAATGGGGATAACTGTAAAATCAACCTGATAGGAACTTTATGAGTATGAAATGAGTCAAATAATGTTATCTGTTATTACCATTAATTTTGTCAGAGATTGTACTAATAGGGAATATAGTAGTTTCTTCAGTAATCAAATAATCATCTAAATAAATGTGAAATTGAAACTTCCGTAAGTTATATAAAGAAAAGATATAGGGGGATTTGAGATTTGCTTTGAAATAATTATCTCTGGGGACAGGAAGTCTTTTTTGCTTCATTTTCCCTCTCTCTCTACCCCTACTCCCGACTCCCATAGAGAAAGAGTGCTGAGCAGGTTGGTCATATTTCAGAACATTGATTGGGCTGCTTACTAGTGGACAGGCCTGCAGGCCTCTTGCCGTACTCCTTTTCAGTTAAGCAAAACTAAACATGCTGTGTATTATTAACAGATTATGCACTTTATAAAACATGTACAAAAGAGACATTTTTAAAAGGATGAGATAAAATAGAAATTTAAAAAAATAGTTTCAGTGAATCAACCAAACAAAAATTGTGCTGGTTCTCACTAAATACATATGTGTACATATAATACACCCACATCCACACCCCCACACACATATACACATACACACATATATGTAAGTTTTTATCCAAACCCCCTTGGATATTTAGCCCATGTCCTGTGGATGCTCTGCACACATTGCAGATGAAAGATCTTGTGGGCATAAAATGAGGCTATACAAAGGCTCTACAACTCCATTTTCCCCGGCCAGGTATTACACTTCATCCTATTGGAATGATAAGTTGCATAACTAAGGGTTGGACCTAGGAGGTATTGGGGAGCAGGGAGTTGGGAAGGAGAACATTGGGGGAAGAAGGAAATTCCAGGCAGAGAAAATGGAATAAATAAAAGAAGAGAGTTTCAAGATTAAAAAAAAAAGTGGGTAGCAACGTTAAATGAATCCTAAAGATACACATTTTTAATTTAAATTATAGATGACCTTGGTAAAGGCAATTTGGGTAGTATGATGGAGATATATCTGGAGAATAAAAAGGAGTATGAACTTATCTGAAAATATATTTGTACTTTGTTCTAAATGGCTTTTGTATAATAGGAATACATCTGACCTTTTAACCAAGCTTTTGTTTTTAAATATTTGTTTTATCTGTTTTACCAGTTGCTAATGACATCAAATAGCAGTTAATTCATGTTCTATCATCTTAGTTATGTTGATCAGTACTTTTGGTACAAAAATGGGGTTGGTACTTTTAGAGTTATTGAAGTGGTGAGCATATGCCCCAGGGAAAACGAATTTCCTCCTAGATTATGATCTGCCAATTTACCATAGTAGCCTGGGATATTTAATGTGACTTACTCTACATTTGACTTCCTCCCAGATGACAGAGTAAATTGGGTGGTGTTTTTCTAAATACATGCCTCAGTATTGGCTTAGACTGAAATAAGTTGAGTATATGGTTCTCATCAAATTTTTGTTCTGGTTTTATTGACATTAAAGTGCAAATCAAAAATTTCAAGTTTATATTTTTGTTTGCTATGACTAACTAAAACTTTGTTCTTTATGAAGTTGGATCCATCTTGTTCAGGATCAATGTAATAGATTTTTTAACTTTATAATGTATGAGATTTATTATCTTTGCTTCAAGAAAAACTTGGTTTTGGTTACATGATTTATATAAAGATTATTTACCTATGCTATTGATTACAACCTGATAACATATGAACATTCATGTCTCTCTGCTTATTCTCATTCAGCCAGGTTTACACACCCAAACACATTGTAAAGTCACTGCCTCTCCTACTGATTACAAAGAATAGCAAGCTGCTTACTCCAGGCTACCAGTGTCGACTTTGTTTGAAGGCATTTCGTCTTGGTCAACATACAAGATTGCTACCATGTGCTCACAGGGTAAAAGTTACATCATTTTAGTTTGACTTTCCCTGTAGGGTCAATTTTTATAAATGAAATGATAGTTTAAATCTCTCTTTTTACTTTTTAGTTGTACTACATTCAGAGATGTTCAAATTGCACAATATGTGTAAAAGAACTGCTGCAGAGACTATTGAGAAGGCAGCTTCTGCCCCCTGAATATGTATTCCTATTGATTAGGACTCATTTCTATATATACTATCTACAAAAGATAAAATAGCACTTTAAGTTAGAATTCCTTTACATTAGTTATCTGTGGAAAGAAAAAGCTTATAAAATATTAACATTTTGCTAGTATTTTTATGATTCTTTAGATGAAACAGAAATCCCTAAATTGATATATGATTTATTAAATAGTTTATTATGTCATATAAACTCACTAGAATCAGTTTAATAACG